CATGACCTTAAAAAAATAAGTAATGTTGTAAGCTGTAGACTGCATTCGCTATGTTTAAATAAAAAAGTGGAGTAATTAATCAAATTAATTATAGTATTCTTTTAAATACACTGCATAAAACAGCAGCTAAAACAGCTATGCTGCTTAGGAAGTTTTGTGAATGAAAACTCATGGTTACACCTGACCAAAAGTATTTTATAAAAAACCAAACATACTGTCATGGAAAACTTGTGACACACAGTATGTGTTATAGAACACAAATGTCATCAAATAATGCATGTTTGAAGCAAGCTTTTAAAATATCTTAAGTTCAAGAATAACAATACACGTAAAATACTGTAAGTGTATGGTGGTGTACATAGAAGCTACATCTCAACAGAAACTGTCTACATAACTATTACAGTGTAAAAGCAAAAAAGAAAGTCAATAGAAAAAAATGTCATCATAAAGTCATGTTTCTATACCACACGGCACTCATAATCCGGTCTTTGTGTGGCATACACAGTGTAAAATCACTACAGAATTCAATTCCATCAGGCTGTGTTGTTTGACGGGGTCAGACGCGATTAACTTGCCCTCTTCGTAAGTCACACCTATTTTCCTTGCATTAAAATTATAAATGGGCATGGTTACAAAGTTAGAAATTTTATGTGTCTGACCAAATGGAGTACATGTTCTGTGCACATGTCACATCTTGACTATAAAAAACTAATGCGATCTTGCACAGTACTCTGTATGTGCAGAGATCAGTCGGTACCAAGGGCACACACTAATTTTAATGTTTTCAACAAAATTTTCACTCTTTAGAGCTGATTACTGCTCAGACACAGTTATCCTATAATTTTAAACGGCTGGCAAAGAGCCAGCCATGGGAAATGGAATCCCATGACCTCGAAGACCTTTGATGGACCACTAACCAAGCACAAGGCCATCGCATTGGTATGTAGTTTATTAAAAAGAATTTAGTAACATTTTGCTAATTAAATGAGCGTACTTCCAAAGGCTTTCAGAAAATAAAAGAGTGCTCTATCGAATTAGTAACGATCAAAAGTAACATTTAGTTTAATTAAGGGCTTTATTAGGTTTTGTTGGTTGTTCCACAGTATAGTAGTTATTTTTAGTCCAGCTAAGGAAGGCCAACATGCATAGCATTACAATACTTAATACAGTACAACTCCTCTTATCTGCAGTGATGTGGGGTACAAACATCACGGATCCTACGATCCACGAATTGACTTTGCTTGTCTGTGAAAATATAATTAGGCATAATATGATCAATTGGCCAATAAACTCCACGTATCTGGTCGTGGGGCTTCCCCCTTCACAAACCTGCACTGACCAGGTTAGCGAAGTATAGTTTTGAGATGCCTTCCTCCAGCAGTGGATTGACAAAGTGATGTGTATAATACATTTATGGAAAAAATGACAAGAAAACATTGCCGTGAAATCACTGAAAATATCCCAATCTTAAGCAATGCACATTTCAAGATGACACCCTCCCATTGCCTGGCTCAGCAGAGTCAAGCTCCCATTGCCAGGATAAACATGAGCAATCTTTCCCATTCCACGCACAACGGACCTGGTAAAATAGTCTCCAAGGCAACAGTTACAGTTAAAAAGGAGTGGCTGGAAAGGTCAACCGGTAAATAAGAAAGGAGCATTTGATCACAACTCGGGGCAAGGAACTCATTGCTTCAATGGTCCATGCACAGGGCTCAACGGTTTTTTTTTGTCAGCCATGAGTGTGGCTGGCAATGCCAAGCCAAAATTTGTTTACACAAGTTAAATGTTTGTGTTGTAACCACACCAAAATGGTGTAAATAATTCTTGTATAGAGTACTTCACTGAATTGTATGGATGTCTAAGCCAAATAACATAATTGTTGGATTTTGTTCTGACAAATTTTAGTTCAAAGCAAGAATTCCTTTTTGAATACAAAATATGTAGAATACTCTGTATGTTGATTCGTTTTGATTCACCGGTACTTTCACAATACCAGAGCGTACGCGTTTTTTACAGCTACACCAGATCAATACAAAACTATTTGTACTATTACAAGTCGGTCTTGGTCAGAGACATTTTTTCACGTTAAGGAAAGTTGTTTAAATACCACCTAGCTGTTGGTATGATCAATATGCAAAAGTCTAAAGTACGGCTTGACACAATAGTGCATTCTTTCCAAGCTGCGCCAATTTCCACTGGGGGGCCCACAGGCGTTTCCTCAGCCCTTCCTCTCCCACACCCCGAAGCACGCTAGGGAGGGCCTGTCCACTGGACTGTACTGACCCCAAATACTGACCGAGGTAATAAAACGTTATACGTAACTTCAGCGAGAGTTTGGGCACACTGAGAAGTAATGTAGTAGATGCTGCCTGTATTGTGTCCATGGTTGGTTATATGGACACGTGTTTCTCTCGGTGATTTTTTATTTTGTATTATTGTTGGCAGTGTTTCTCCGGTACTGTGTTTAAAATGGCACACAGATGAGCAACTGCGGTAAAACATGTTTTATAGCAACACTGTGTTTCTTGTGATTTATATCCAAGTCGCGATCATTGCTGGTCAGTACTGTATGCAGTGAAATGAAAGACAACCAATAAAGTTTCCAACGAAAGGACAATACATTTTTTCCCAAAGCAAATATTTTAGGCAATGGGTTATTTGGTAAATGTTAATACTGCAGTCATGATACAAGACTACAAAGAATGAACTTTGGTGCTTTCACAAGAATATATTTGCCATAGATTGTACCACGGTTAGGTTACAACAAACGGACAGGAAAGTTACAGCCCACAATAAAGCGGCCAGCCCATTAACGTGATGCAGCAAGGCTGGTGAGTGTAACGCATCAGCTGATTCGCCAGTCCCTTTAAATACCACATTTCTTTCGGTTCTGAAAACCAGATGAACATGGTGTGAGATTACAGCCCCAGGATGCGTTAAGACATGCCACAAGTGGGACGATACCTTCCTCACCTTGGTTCCCACCATAATTAACACAAAATTCCCACGCCCTAATAAGAAAACAAATACCAACTCAGTTAATGTAGCAACACAGAGGCCAAATGTTGAAATTGCTAAACCTCGACGTTCTGCATGTTGTGTGGGTTTTTCACAAGGAATAATGCAGAGTTTTGTCGACGCACAGCAAAGCTTTGCTGCACGGAACAACGATATTAGAGTGCCGTGTGGTAATGTCTTGCACACTATTGGTACAAAGCACATTGCCTTCTGATTTAAAAAAGCAAAATGACTCCTGAACACATGGAGAAGGCACTGTTGGATTTACAGCAGCTCAATGGTTAAAAGAATCATCATATGAAGACAAAACTTTTTTTACTTTAATTAAAACTGCCAGATCCCTTGGCAAATACCATGAAAAATACCATCCACAGTATTATCCTAATCTTTAAATACCCAGAATTGCCTTTATAAGGATTAGGGCTTAAGTGCAAACTCTTTAGCTTCCAGGAAATGCTGTATCACATATACTGTGGAATTCCTTCATTTGACCGAATATTGTCACATATACAGTAGGCATACATCTAAAAAAACTAAAACATTTACTGTATATTTGTACATTCATGTACACTGTACAATTACACTCCAGTTGTGTATCGTAGTGGAGTTGGAACAATGCGTCAATAGCATCAAAACCTTTAGCTTATGATACATGCATCGAATTTTGTGAATTTATGTTTTTCGATGTGTTAAGTATGTTGTATGTTAAGGGTTGATGTCACCCCTGTAGTCACAAGAGGCGCTATTATTCACCACAATGTAAAACGTTCTTGAATCAATCTGTCACCTCTGAAATGACATCGTTCCACCCTCATGTACAGGGAGATGCAAGTCTGCTTATCTACAACGAAAACCGGTGGCCCATATGCACAGTACAGGCAGGACTGTATTTATGGATTAAACTGTTTTATGGTGTTTAACAATTAACGCTGGATTCGTTTCTCGCCACAGGAAATTGTAAGTCTTGGAAACTGGCCCTGACAACAATTCAAGTGAACTTTAAGTGGGTGTATAGAAATAGTAAGATAAACATGTGCATATGTGACAGATACTCAAGGTGTATGCCGTACAAGCACACATTAAGTTAGGAAAACCAGTAAGAGGTTGTGGGACACAATTAATGACCACATGCAACATCCCCAAAGAGGCGTCATTAACACTGCCAGTTCAGTCAGGTATTGTCCCTGTCATGTATATGAACACATATTTGAGGTAGCGTCTGTTATTAAGAACACAGTACAATGCTGTAATTCATATTCAGCACACTTTCTGTATTTTGAGAATGGTGCACTGGAATACACTATGGTACAAAATAATAATTTGTGTCGTTGTGGAGACTAACTATAAATAACTAAGCGGGCAATATGCCACCTTCCTACATTCTGTAGCTCCGCATGATAAATACACTTTTTTTTCTTGCACATCCCATCGACCACATGGCCTTTTGGGAGTTATTTTTATCAGCAGCATTGCTTTAAAACAAGAAAACGCTGGAGCAGTTTGAACATTCAGTTTTTATCATCAGCAGTGAGTCTTACTTAAACCAATGCAGATGAACTGCCAACTGTAATAGCATGTACCTTTCTGTTCGACATTAGTCCTAGTATCAAACAAAACTATAGAACGCATCCATACATGCCACAAAATAATAATATAATCAACGTTATTGATGAGAATATAATTCACATGATGAATTAGCAATTACACCTTCCCACACCGTGGTAGGTCAGCAAGAGAATATTAAAAATCAGTCATCTGCCCATTAAACGTTGCAGCTGGACCGGAGTGACAATCATATAGCTAAGTGGACACAACATTAAGCAACAGGAGACACAACACCTGTATAAATAGCCTTCACGTCTCCTAATTAGGGCCAATTCTACTGTCAAATAGACAAGTATGTTTACCCACGAGCAGTGCGTGTGTGTGTGTGGCGTTAGGAGCTGTGGTCACTTAGGCGCCTGAGACAATGCACTTACCCTTCTAGGAGTTTTACTTGAATGAGGTAATTGTCCACGACAGGAAACAGGATTCTGAAAGCGAGAGACAAAGTTTAATCTCTATATAATGCAAATGAATATATTGTTTACATTCTCAACTCGGGGAATCATGTTACAGTACAGTATTGGCAAATTCAGAGGGCATTGTCCTAAACTCGCCATGGCTTCTCCATCAACAATTTTGAGTTGGACTCTTCACAATGAACTACAAAAACATTGATTGGGATGCGCATTGTATTTACCACTCTCAAAATCTACTGTACAAGATACGAATACAGGAATGTGCAATACACTGCTGGAATTTGCATATGCCGAATAAAAAAACTGATTCCAATCACCTCAGCGCTGATGAAAACACTTAAAGTAGTGCAATTTAAAGTAGTGCAATTTACAACTTTGTCTCATGCTTCCTTTGCAAAAGGGACTGAATGTCCCAAATGGCCTTAGGTCTTGATTATAATGAAAAGGTATACTTTTCACGCAAAAAATCGTTCACAAATGGGATTTTTAAAAAATATGTTGGCAATTAAAACAACTCTATTGTATGTATAAAGAAACTTAATCAAGAAGTGTGAATTGTCAAAATTGTCCGGCTTAGCATCGCTTCGGCAGCCTCCTGTACACACTTTCGATTTTGTGATGGATCGCTAATTGATCATTGTACTAAAATAGACACTTGTATCCTACTTAGGCATCCAGTGACAACATTTAAGCGAATACAAACAAGTACAATCACTGGTGCCACTCGCATACGACCCGTGTGCATGCCGCTTCGATGGCACTGTAACTTGAGTGGGGGGAATTACGGTTGGGGTATTTTTTTTGTCGACAGTATTTATGTACACGTACGTTTGAAATCGATCTTAAGTTTCCTTTTTTTTAATTCAGATGCTGAGCCCAAGCCGAAGCTTGTCGCCCCAGGGCTCTCGGCGAGTGTGGACACGTGCGGCGCGATCCATGCCCGGCTGTGCCCGGGCAAGACACCCCGGGGGTTCCCGAGCGCCCCCTCGATCTCTCCCTGCATCACTGCATCCCACCCTTCCTTCATCCCTCCGTCTCCCTGGATCACCTCCATCTCTTCCATCTCCCTGTACCTCTTCCATCTTCCGGGAATCTCTTCCATCTCCCTGCATCTCTCCATCTCCCTGCATCTCTTCCATCTCCCGGGCATCTCTCCATCTCCCCGCACCTCTTCCATCTCCCCGCACCTCTTCCATCTCCCGGGCATCTCTTCCATCTCCCGGGCATCTCTTCCATCTCCCTGCATCTCTTCCATCTCCAGGCATCTCTTCCATCTCTCGGGCATCTCTTCCATCTCCCTGCATCTCTTCCATCTCCCTGCATCTCTTCCATCTCCCGGGCATCTCTCCATCTCCCGGGCATCTATTCCATCTCCCTGCACCTCTTACATCTCCCGGGCATCTCTTCCATCTCCCGGGCATCTCTCCATCTCCCGAGCATCTCTTCCATCTCCCGGGCATCTCTTCCATCTCCCGGGCATCTCTTCCATCTCCCGGGCACCTCTTCCATCTCCCTGCACCTCTTACATCTCTCGGGCATCTCTTCCATCTCCCGGGCATCTCTCCATCTCCCTGCATCTCTTCCATCTCTCGGGCATCTCTTCCATCTCCCGGGCATCTCTTCCATCTCCAGGCACCTCTTCCATCTCCCTGGCATCTCTTCCATCTCCCTGGCATCTCTTCCATCTCCCTGTACCTCTTACATCTCCCTGGCATCTCTTCCATCTCCCTGTACCTCTTACATCTCCCGGGCATCTCTCCATCTCCCGGGCATCTCTTCCATCTCCCGGGCATCTCTTCCATCTCCCGGGCATCTCTTCCATCTCCAGGCACCTCTCCATCTCCCGGGCATCTCTTCCATCTCCCGGGCATCTCTTCCATCTCCCGGGCATCTCTTCCATCTCCAGGCATCTCTCCATCTCCCTGCACCTCTTCCATCTCCAGGCATCTCTCCATCTCCCTGCACCTCTTCCATCTCCCGGGCATCTCTTCGATCTCCCTGCACCTCTTCCATCTCCCGGGCATCTCTTCGATCTCCCTGCACCTCTTCCATCTCCCGGGCATCTCTCCATCTCCCGGGCATCTCTCCATCTCCCTGTACCTCTTACATCTCCCGGGAATCTCTTCCATCTCCCTGCACCTCTTACATCTCCCGGACATCTCTTCCATCTCCAGGCATCTCTCCGTCTCCCTGCATCTCTTCCATCTCCCGGGCATCTCTTCCATCTCCCTGCATCTCTTCCAACTCCCTGCACCTCGTTCATCTCCAGGCATCTCTCCATCTCCCTGCACCTCTTCCACCTCCAGGCATCTCCCCATCTCCCTGCACCTCTTCCATCTCCCGGGAATCTCTTCCATCTCCAGATCTCCCTGCACCTCTTCCATCTCTTCCATCTCCCGGGCATCTCTTCCATCTCCCTGCATCTCTTCCATCTCCAGATCTCCCTGCACCTCTTCCATCTCTTCCATCTCCCGGGCATCTCTTCCATCTCCCGGGCATCTCTCCATCTCCAGGCATCTCTCTATCTCCCTTAATTTCTCTGCCACTTTCAGACTATTCGTGCACCCCCCCTTCGCCTTTCCATATTCCTGCATCCATCCATCTCCGTGCCTCCATCCACCTCCTCTGTTTAGGTATAAGTAGCGGTACGCACATGACGACGTGGCGAGTTGGTTTTGTGGGTGGCACAGTAATTAGCGCACTGCGCTACAAACCCGGCTACCTTAGTTCAGTTCCAGACCACGGCTAACATCGGTGACGAATGAAATCTGAACCCACGCACCACCACCAACGCCAATGACCCACAGCGTGGCGATGTACAGTCAAACAAACCCACACGACCGACACGGCGTAGCGAGGCATTCATCCAGCAGTGGATTGACGGAGGACTGCACATTGCAATTGCATAGCTGCATACACGTGGCAGCGTGTGTGCCGCTGTACACAATACAGTATACATGCGTGTACACAAAAGCCAGTATAGATGTGTCTGCCGTGTATAAATACACAACAGTTTACAGCATCCGTGTGTGTGCAGACATATATATAACACGTGTGTGTGCAGAGGTATATAACACGTGTGTGTGTGCAGAGAGATATATATAACACGTGTGTGTGTGTGTGCAGAGATATATATAACACGTGTGTGTGTGTGACGGTATACCCATGAGAGTCGCGGATGCTATACATTTGCCGTTCGTCGGATACACATCGTAATCGCGACATGTTGCCATCTCACATCATCAACACACATCATCAAGTCGAGAGCAAAGCTCGGAACCCCCACTCCCCATCGGCTCGTGGCTGTGGTGGTAGCAGAAAAATCAGCAGTAGCAGCAGCATCATCATCCTCCCGGGAGCGCACAAATCTCGCGTCGTCCCTCTCAAGCAGCAGCTGCTGCTGCTGCTACCACACACAAACCACAGACACCCATTGCTACACCAACACGTGTGTGTGTGTGCGCTTGCTCTCCTCCTGGCTATGCGCGTCGTGTGTGACACGACCGCTGCTTTGCGTTGCTCAACGCCATCGGCGAGAACAAAAACGGTAAAAGCCTTAATCGTGACGTGTGTCTGTGTAACGGTGGGTAAAACAAAAATATATAATAGGCGATCAGCATTCCCCCACCTGGATCGTCCATCCACGCGGCGCGGCGCTTGGGCTCTCTGTGAGCGGCGGCCGCGGGCGGCGCGGATCGCAGTGCGGAGGGGAGACGACGAGAGGGGTGGGGGGGAGGCGCGTCGAGGGGGGGGGGGAGGAGACCCACCCATCTCTACCCCCGCCCCTACTTCAACCCCCCCCATCCACCTCAAACCCCTCCCCCACCTCAACCCCCCACTTCTGCTCCCCCCCACCCACCTCAACCCACCTCAACCCCCCACTTCTGCTCCCCCCCACCCACCTCAACCCCCCCATCCACCTCAAACCCCCATCCACCTCAACCCCCCACCCACCTCAAACCCCCACCCACCTCAACCCCCCATCCACATCAACCCCCCCCCATCCACCTCAAACCCCTCCCCCACCTCAACCCCCCCCCTCCACCTCAAACCCCTCCCCCACCTCAACCCCCCCCCCACTTCTACTCCCCCCCCACCCACCTCAACCCCCCCATCCACCTCAAACCCCCACCCACCTCAAACCCCCACCCACTTCAACCCCCCATCCACATCAACCCCCCATCCACATCAACCCCCCCCATCCACCTCAAACCCCTCCCCACCTCAACCCCCCCATCCACCTCTACTCCCCCCCACCCACCTCAACCCCCCCACCCACCTCAAACTCCTCCCCACCTACCTCAACCCCCCTCCCCACCTCAACCCCCCACCCACCTCAACCCCCCCCCATCCCCCACAGTCTAGCCCGAGCTCACCCCCCCCCCCAAAACCTTGCACACGCCACACCATGGACAGTGCTGTAGAGTAATAAACTCTCTTCATCCCGTCTCACTAACCCTGCACACACCCTCATCCCACTAAACATTATCCCCACCCCCTCCTATCTCGAGGAAGGCCACCCCGCACCAAATCTCTATCCCACCCAACCATCACCCACTCTGATGCCAACCCCACCTTATCCACCCGAAGCAACCCATCCATACCCTTAATACCCCTATCCCACCTACTTTCCCACTGGCGTGATGGTACAATGGTTAGCGCACAGTTGAGTTCTAGGCCACGGCTAACAAGCCACGGCTAGCATCAGTGGCGACTGATATCTGAACTGATATCTTACCCAGCCCTGAAAAAAAAAACACCAATGTCCCCTAACCCCCACGCCAATGACCAGCGTGGCGAAAGACGGTCAAACAACTCACACGACCGACATGGCATAGAGAAGCATTCATCCAGTGGTGGACATATCGCTATGCCACTTACATTGCCACTGTGATCCCACCCATTGGGACACCGTAATCTGTTCATTGGACATCTGTGAAAATACTAGACATCTGTGAAAAAGAGCTTCAAAGCTCATTGAATTTCTCCAGGACAAATAAATATTCTGATTCTGTCATACCAAACTATATACCCATATCCCACATAACCTGCCATTGTCATACCACCAAACCAAATCTCATCCCTAGAAACCATATACCATACACCCCTATCCTACATTTTACTACCTTACTTTAACCCTTAGAGACCCACAATACCACACCGCACACCGATATGCCACCATATCTCCGACCCTGATTCGCTCCCCCACCTTACCTAATCCTACAGACCTCACCCTGTTATACCTCTGTCTCACTCTACTTGCTAGCCTTATTCCACCATAATTTCCCCGACCCCTAAGGGCTCCATTACAGCACATTCCTATTGCACTTTAGCTCCTAGTAAGTCATGGTGGGAGGTAAGGTGCAATAGCGTTCTTGTGTGATGGAGATCCATCGTCCCATACCCTCATTTGGCCCAGCTTTACCCCTGTGAGCCTCACTATTCACTACAGTAGGTGTTGTATCTGTCGTGCCTGCAAAGTTTCCTTCATTGTCTATGTCTACGAATAATACACGTTTGCCTCACAAAGGGCAGTTGTGTATCAGCAGGCTGAGGAAATTCCACTCCTAATCCGACCCCACCATACCCTACCCGTCATAACTTATGTAATGTTTACCACACCTCGAAGCATAAGTTGATACAGTTCCGCCACTAAAGTATATGCACTTCTGTGCCACTCTTGCAGCATCAACTTACGCGGTGCACATCTTCTCCACGCAGTAATCTTTCATGGTGTCTTTCCACATTGTTCTGTCTTCTTATTGTACTTCTTCCTGGTACCCATTCTAAAAAATATATTTGCTATTCTGTTCCTTTCTATTTCCATGACCTGACCAAACCTCAGAATTCTCATCATTGTGAAGTATTGGCTGTCCCATGCATTCTCGAAGTTTTATGTTGGGGACTTGACATTTTATTCCCATCACTTTACTCTGATATATGCTATCAAAACTCACTTTTTTACTTGTAATTTCAATCATTGGTAAATTTTTGGTTCCATATAACCAGACAACAAGCACATTGGAGTTACACATTCACATCTTGGTTTTTAAGATTAAATTTAGAATATTTATTGGTCAGATTGCATTCGTCGAAAAAATGCCAATGTGTGTAGCTTTTTTGATGCTGAGACGTTTACTGTTCAAATATATACTTCTTGAAATGCATTATTTGCCCATCCAATTTTAATGTTAACCTCATTTTTTATGGTGTTATCTGTAATTATCTTTCCAAGTTACTGAGCGGAAACCAATTTTTATATATTCTCTTATGATTTGATTTCTTCATTCGTGTCTCATTCCATAAACTTAGTATTTTCCAAATGTTCAGACCCACTGTCTCTGATTTTTCTGCAATATTATTGGTCGTTTCCTAAAGTGTTAATAAATCTTCCTTTGATCATCTCACAGCACAATTTTTTAAAATTATATCCACAGAGTTTTGGGTGCACCAGTCCAACCACCAGTTGTAAAGGAAAGGGTGAAATTATACAGCTCTGTTTGATGCCACTGAATATCAAACCAAGGACAGTCATGTCTGACCCTGCTCACAATATCAACCCAATCGTTGTTTCCAGTATCTGCTTTGATGTAGCACAATGAACCTTCATGACTATCATTCATGGCACTGATTAATATATTTTATATGGCAGAGCTCCGCATGACCTTATGTGGTATTTATCTATGCAATCGAAAATCTTGGCGAAATGTATACATTCTACCACAATATATACCTTTACCCTATTCATTTTTTGTATTTATCCTACTTAGTAATACCCCACCCCACCATATGATACCCTGCATATCTACTGCCACCCTATCCCACCTATTCTTACCCTAGCCTTATTATCATGTCAGCCTGTAACAATTCTCCACACCCTCTCGGGATTCAAATTATTTGAACAATACAAATTTGTGATTCGATTCGTGAATTTATCATTTTATTATTGTGGCCTCTAGCTGCTGTAGAGGTCTCACGAACCCTTTACATTCAACATACATCAATTTAAAAGGAGCATTGATTCTTTCACATGCGATTCATTGCATGGATCACGAGCTTCAACAATTCACAATCAATAGTAATTAATGAATGTATACATCGTTATACCCCTAATAACGACCCGTACCCAATCCTACCCGCATTTTACCATACTTTATTCTTACTCTCACCATACTCATGCATAACTACTCCAATCCACCCTATCCTACATTATCCATACCGATATACTAACATCATGTAACAATCCCAACTGTGTAATACTTAAACATACCCTCTTCCTAATTCACCATACACCACTCTGACATAAACTACACGCAATTTTTTTTTATTAATGCCGTACCATACCCTACATCATTGATTCAAAAGTTATTTGCTATTGCGGACCCCAATCAAGACAACTGGTTCCCGTGCTCCTCCGCCCCCTCCACACGCAGGTGACTGAGGTCACAGTGCAGATAGGTCGCATGTCCATCACGCCTCCAGTCAATTGTTTGTGCATTCGTTGTGTTTTGTCGCCGCAAATAGGGCGGTGGTGGGGAGGCGCAATGTTTCCCTGCGCTCATTCTAAATTGCTCCTGCACTATAGCCGTGCAGCAACCCGCCACCCTCGGCGCGAAAATAGGCGCGCCCCACTGGTTTAAGATCGGCTGTCCTATATAATTGTAGTGTATTTATCCTCATTGCATCCTACCTAAATACACCCTCCACATAGCACCCTACATAAACTACCCCCCCGCCCGCCAACCACCATTCCTTTCTCCGCCATACCGTGCCCTACCTTATAGAACTCGAAGCAAAACCAACAACCACCAACCCCACCTCCAAACAACCTCGCCGCCACCTCGCACACTCCGTCATCACCACCACCACCCAACCCTTTGGGGTGTCGCAACGCAGTGGCACGCACTCACGAACACGTGGGGGGGCCTCGGCTGTATCTGTTTGGAACGCACCAGAGAGAGTCGAGGAGAGTGAGAGAGGGAACGAGACGAGGGGCTTCAAGGGGCTCGCGATGTTGGTTTTTTGGTTGTTCCAATCATTTTCTGCAGTATTCGCCTCCCACAGACGCACGCGCGTGTAACCTTCCCGGTTGAGAATGAGAAACGGGCGCGAATTTTATGGACGAATTAGATTTTTACGCAAGGTATTTCGGCCCTCGTCGTCACGGGAGATACACGGTTCAAATATTTGGTTCAAATATAAGGGCGATCATTTACTGTTGTACATTATCGAGGCACCTATTCGGTAAATGTTGTTGTCCTGGCTCACTGGGGTCGTGTATACCTGGTTTAAAAAAAAGAACAAGAAATTGCTCCTGTCCTTCACAGTAAGCACAGGACGTATTAAGTATGACGGTACTGTAGCCTCGCACCTTTTGTGACCCTCATCGGAGGATAAGTAGCTCCTAAGAGGTTTCAGAATCTCCTAAAGCCGCACTTATCCCCCCCTCCAACCCCTTCCAGCCAGAGCCGGTTGGTCCTTGAGTCGCTCATTGAACACTTAAATGGCATGGCTAAAGTCGATACAATACAATGACTTTCAGTTGTTACTTAGTTCCCCCAATGAATAAACTGTCTTCAGGCTGGACGTCGATTCATCACTCTCATCATCGGTCATTATCAATCCACTGCTGGATCCCGCGATGTCAATCACTCTAGCTCCTGTCACTTATCATTCAAATAAGATTGACGCTTTTGTATCAATAGAGGCTGACAAGTTATTGCATGGGATGTGTATGATACATTGACACCAGCTTATTAACGTGTGAGAGTCTGCACTTTACATGGGGGGGGGGGGGGGCACAATTTCCGCCAGGAAACCTGAACGTTGACCGCCACGAGGTTACAACAGTTGCTTCAGTGACATATTTTAGTCGTGTCTGCAAGAAGAAAATCATTAGTATGTTGTTTTCACCATTGCTCTAAGGACTGTTATCAAGTTACAGTACTGTTTATAAAACCAGGTGAGGAGCCACCAAGACATGCCTCACAAGAGACACCTGGATGAGCAGCCGGTAGAAACAGTAAAGAATGCCACAAGAACAAATCCTCCAGCACCAAATAAAAATGTTGATCAATCTAAAACATTACCTGTATACAGTGATGATCTATGCCGAGGCAGGAGATGTGGATGGATATTGTGAAAGAATGAAGCAAATGGGTGAGAAAAGGCAAACGCCAGAGGCAAATGACATAACATTGTCTTGTCAATCCTCCAATCTAAAAGGACACACGATGACTGTGACTGTGAAAAATACGCTTTCTCCAAACTCCCCAGTATTCTGTAAAATTATTTGTTACGTTCTTTCTGACACAAAAATGTGGTATCAAAGGCCCCTTTTGTCAGTAACTTGTGTCACGTTGGTGACGTTGGTGGCACAAGTTTCCGTTGTGCGGTGCGGTTTTTTTGGCTATTTGCGGCTCTGACTGTTCGATGACAAGAGGCTTTAGCAGTCTCAGCCGAGCCACAACTTGTGAGTGTCACGGAGCTGCCAATTGTAGAGAGCGCAAGTCGACTGTGCCTGAATTTCTGAGAAATGGCAGATGCGCGGATCCTTAACGCCAACAGCCCCCGATCGCTTGGTTGTTTTTAATGCCCGGCGTTTCGTCGTCGCCGAGTTATTTTCAGGCGTGATTAAAAAAAAACCCCGCGCCGCTGCTCTTTTTCAATTATTAACGCCACATCGAGCGCCGACCGATAACGCGAGACTCAAATAATGGATGAATTGGTGACCTTGTCCTCATCCTGCAGAAGATCTCTCGTGTCAGCGGAGCTGCTCGTGGGAGTCGCTGCTCTCTGCCGGGTCCCGTGTTGGACCGTGGCACGTTGCTGGGAAATAGTTGGGCGCAAAAATTTGCAACCCATGGCACGCTATTTGTTGCTATGTCTGATTGTTTTTCTTTTTTTTTCTTCTCCAGCATATTTCTAAATGTTTGTACGTACCGTGTGTTGAACTTATTTCCCCACCGTACGTAGCCAACCGTGATATTTAATCGGAGATGCGCGGGAAGGACAACAGAGTCGACACAAAAAGCAGTTCTCAAGAAATTCGTTTTCAATGCTGATTATTTAAAAGTGCATAGCCTCCAGTGGCTTGGCAACAATAATCTAACACATTTAAATGCAGCATATTTATATGTTTGGTAATTGAACATGTTTAATCGCTGTTGATGCAATATGTCCTCGATTATCGAAGACAATCTATTAGTTATTTTTCTATGTGCAACAAAGTTATATATTTTTTTATTCTTGGACATTAATTCATGTGCTGTCGATAATTAAGGATAGTATTTAAGTTATTCACTGTTGTCGATTATTGCGGAAATATTACATAAGTTCAATAAATGTGTTAAGATTTTTAAAATAATCTAACGTAGCAACTGATATATTGTCATAGCAATCGACCACACGTACTTGTGGTGAACATGCAAACAAAAAACATGCTCTCATCATATTATGCATTGTCTTTGAAACGTATTGGTCCACACCAATCAGTTTTTTGTTTGCATGTTCACCACAAAGTTATTGTGGCTAATGCAGACAGGTTCCTTGATCAAGGATTCTGTTTGGTCTTTTAACATCTCAGATAGGGTATAATAAAACCTATTGTTATATATTTAGAATACTGTACTGGCAAGAAGAGCCCCATATTACAATAATTCATCCGAATCTTTCAAAACACGGCCTCTCAGCGCCCCCATCTGGCCGTGGTGCCCACGTCTGAGACATCGGCGTTCCCCGCATCCAAACTAAAAAAACCCAGCTCTCTCCACAACGCACGTCCGGGGGCCTCAACAGCACGAAGGGAATCCACCCCCCGCCGACCCCTCACGACACCCAAGGTGCCGCAACCATCGAGATCATCCACACATGGCCAGCGGCGAGGACCGAGGCGCCACCACGCGAGCGGGGGGGAGCCGCCGCCGCTGTCCGAGCCGGGGACCCCGCAACGCAGCCACGCTGCTCGGGGTCAGAGGCCGTGGCCTGGGCCCCGTGGAGCCCCGTGCCCTCAACATGAAGCTGTTGAGGGAGCTGCTCTGCCAGGTGGTTTGTCCTCGTATGCTCGATGCCGTGCGAGGTCGGTGTGTGTGCGCCCCCCCCCCCTTTCTTCCCTCCTCCTCCACCACCACTCCCCGCCCGTATCGGGCAGTGCAGGTCTGATGGGAGGGCTGGGCTGGGCGCCAGCTGAGAGCGTCGGGCTCACAGCGTTCGGTAGAGAAACAAGGCTCTCGTGGGCTCCGGTCTACTGCCTCGTCGTCACGAAGAGCCCCGAGTCGTTGAGTCGCTTGCACGGGCGCCCCCTGCCGGGTATCTCTGGGTTTCCTTCGACGAGTTGATGCTCGTCAGGTCTCAATTGTTATAGTCCCCGGGACCCGCAGAATTGTCGCGTTTTGGGGCCCTCTGGGTTACGACCCCTCGATGCGTTATTTGAAATGGGATACGCGCCAGTGTTGCAATATTAATGCCTTTACCCTGCTGCTGTGGTGTCATTATACGCACGCTGGACTTGCAATCTAGACGACGCCAGTTCGATTCGATCTCCCTGCGTGGCAATTGAGACAACAGGCACATTTCTTGGTTGTCCTGGGTCCACCAAGCAGGCTACACGGGCACCTCCACGGTTATTCGACAGGCAGGTCGCGTGTAGTGGGGTAAATTGTGGGTATCACCTCTCGCAAGACCAAAATACACTCTATAGAGCTGTCTATAGCTTCGAGTAGAGGCCCTTTTGCCAGCAGTGGCGTAAGCCAGTAATTGCAGGGCTTCACCTTTATCATCTACCCTGGGTATGGCCTCCTTGGGTGGTCATGGAACACGGGGTTTTTAATTGGAGGTGACACTTGAAAAAAATATTTCAACATTATGATAGTCCCGTGAGAAAACGAAAGTGGTTCGTGGTTCACGATTGTAAAAAAAAAAAACACCGAGAATTTGCAGAACCTGTATTGTGAGTGATTTTACCGTACGTATTTAAACAAAACACATTTGAAACATAGTTTTGCTCGAATGCAAGTCCCAAGTGGTCCAGCAACACAAATCTGCGGTGTGCGTGTGCAGCGTTTTGCAGTCCGTTGCAAACGCAGTTGAGGAAACAAAGCACAGAGTACAGTATTAGGAAATGGCACGATAGATATTGACTAAAGGTTAAGGCGGTTAACCATTGTGCTTACAATCAACGTGTTGCTATGTAATAAAGTCCTCATGAAACGGGTATTTGCACCATTTAATATTTAACCGACCAAAGTTCAAACTCTCTCTCTCTGATATATGAGCGACTACAGGAATAATAAATGCACTTAGAAACCCAGCAATTACTCCAGCAATTTTACAAATACAGGAAAGTAACGCTATATCGACCTACCCGAGTGTGATACCTTGCACGGCAGTATGCAAAGTATTATTTTACTAATATAATGGGTCAAGAATGTCCCCCGCGCGTGACGTCACTCCACATGAGGCCCACCCCCGCGTGACGTCACTCCACATGCCGCACCCCTCCACAATAACCATTAGCGGGTGACGTCACTCCACATGGGGCAATTCCCCCCCTCATTAATAATCATAAGCTGAACAATTTCTCTATTGAATATTTCAGATTTACTGCAATATACACCCGTCCTTGGACGGGCAAAAAAGCTAGTTTTCTATATAAAGCTTTAATTCTTTATTAAGTTTAATACTGGCCTGGCGATATGCTGTATTTGCTGTTTTTCTTTTTTGGCAGGAATCCACGGTCTTTAAAAAGATGGGCACAATCCACTCCACAACTCCAATTGCGTATGAAGAAGGGAGGATATACACTGAAAATTACAAGCACTGTTATACCAGGTTGTTAGTGCTTTCTTAAGGGTTCTGATACTTATTTTCTTCAATCAATGGAACAGCTTCTTGCGTTTGGAATGAGTACATCAACAAGCTATAGTTATGTACATCATCAGCCATTATCCACTGCTGTACTAAGGTCTCCCCAAGCCATTACCATCATTCTGTTGCAATGCAACAATCCATGACATTTAATGTAAGGGGTTTGCAAATACTTAAGGCTATTTGCATGGTTGGCTACATACGGTGCAAAAGACGTTCAACATATATTTTATAACTGAGAAATGTTTGTTCTTTAGCAACGGAGTTGTGCCTAAGCTGCTGTACCAATTGCCCAAGTGCCCAGCTGCAGAGAAGATGGAAGATGCCCTGCTCTGTGAGAGCCCTGTGGTGGGTAGCAGACCTGTAAAGAGGAATGCAACATGTATTGCCTTCAAACACTATCTAGTAAACAAAACACAAGTATTAGGAGAAATATGTTCATGTTGTTATGCAACATTGATTTATTGCAACATTGATTTTTTTTTGTGCTACAAACTAGTCTGAATTTTTTTTAATAAAAAAAATACACACGCTATTTCCACGTATCTACATTTAAGTGTACATCTTTGTTTGCAACCATAATTCTCATTTAGTTCTAATTTTTATAAAACTAATTAATTTAACAGACGTGCTGTACTATGGTATATGTAAAGTGTATAACACTGGCGTGTGCATTTGTGTTGGTTTATTACGTACATGCAGGTAATCTTGCATACGTGTGCCCATTTTTTTTGTTCTCCAGTGCAACGTTCTGCCCAAGGCTTCCGATTACTTTCCGTCTCTCATGGCTCTCAGGGCAGATGGCTGGCTTCTCAGGCTGGATGCCAACACCAGCCAGTTGCTGGAGAAAGTCTACCTTTCTCCTGTCATCAAGTTCAGGTCTGCAACCAGACATGCAGATGAGCAGCATGATAATCAGAGCTGAGTCTTTGTACGATCAAAACTAGTTGCTTTGAAACTGCAATTGTATTTATTTTTATTAAAAACCTTGCCATTTAGAAATATCATTCTGCAGAACAAAGGCACTCTTTTTAACATACAGTGCACTACTTTTAAGTGCTTTCATACTGTAGTTAACATTTTAATAACGCATGATTATGTTTTATTCATCAGACATTTATCGTGGAGCTCTAATCAAGAGGTGTTTGCTGTTAAATCCATCCAGAACAAGCTCTTGCCTAAACTGGGGCAGAAGGTAAAAACAAAGCGTGGCTTCTGGGTCTTGCTTGGGATGAATAAAAATGCAATGCTCGTCGTTAGTGTTGAGCAAATGTAAAGTTGTTCACGTGCCATGTTGGAGCTATCTAGAGTTACTTTGCAACTGAAACCCCTGGAAATGGTATGCTGATAATGAATTATGTGAATCCATTTTGATAAAGAGCATCAATATATTTTTTTAAATGCTTATCGTTAAGAGTCTGCTTGCTAAGTGTACGAATCACTTGTTTGAAATATTCTGCCTGCAACAGAACAGCCCCATTCAACCCCCTTTGCTGCACATGGCTGTTTTCACCGCGTTCCCTCTCAGCCTGGTGGGCATGTTGGCTGTCGAGCGCAAGGCAGGTGGTATAGCATGTTTATTAATGTTCTAAGTTAGATAATTTTTTATTATTACATTTGATACTCATGACAAAGCCTTCACCGAAAATGTGGTACCACAATATAAAATTCCAGATGTTATTCTTTGCAGATCTTTGAGAACAACATCTCGGATGCCACAGTCTCCCAGGGATTCCTGATAACGATGCACAGTGACGGTCACGTCAAGCTTTTTAACTTGGAAGAGATTGTCAAAAAGGTACTTATTTACTCTATCTAATTCACCACTATGGATTTAACAAACTGATGCAGGGTTGTTGGTAAAATAGTTTGTGGTGAAATGTTTTAAACTTTGTTTGAATTTACAATTTTTACTTGCAAATATTATATGAACTTTTGAATTATGATTTTTGTGTAATATTAATTAATAACAAAGTAACTGTGTGCCAGTATTTCGATGCCGCATTTTTACTTGGTGAGTGAATGAAATGTGTATTAATACCAACTTTCCCTCCCCTGCATCAGTACCGTTTGAAAGATCTGTCTCTGGGCCAGGCGTGTGAGTGGAACAAGACTTGTGGTGTGGTTGGAGCCAAGCCCTTCGGCATTCCATGCAACATTGACATTAAAGGTATCCATATAAAAGTTGTAAGCAAAGCACTGGCATACTGCTTTTAAAATAAATACAGTAATAACTTAATTAAAACAATTACAAAAATGTAGTACATTATCGAAATAAATGGTTGCTGTTGTCTTAACAGAAAAGAGATTGCCATGCATTATAAAAAAAAGATATATGATTTTAACACATTGAAACTTTTAAATTTAAAGGATAAAATCAAATTGTTCAATTATTGCTAACCATGTTTAACTGGATGAGAATGAATTGCGTACCTTAATTGCAGCAATATTTTTCTTTCTGTGAAGAATGATATTAACATCTAACAAATGCAATATATTTTGTGCTTGCATGTGATTATTTTTTTACAACTATAACGCCTAAGGCCATAAAGCAGGTGCTTCTCATACCCGTTTTTAAATTAACTCACGTGTGTGGGTCATTGATGGACATTTGCGTGAGTCTGCCTTGCTGATGCCCACCCTGTGAATGCAGCTTGTCCGACCGTGCTGTTTACTGTAAAGTGCCTGGAGAACCAGCTACACATAGGAGGCTTCCCGTGGCACTACATCATCTCACTCAACCAACGCAAACAGAAAGGGAAATTCCGAGTATTTTCGCTGGCAAACGAGAGCCCAGTATGTCCACACATTTCCACGATTTCTCACCATTGCCTTGCATGCAGAGGTCTGTATTTATCATGCATTGTGTATGAATATTAGTTATTTGAAAGCAACTGTAAATCTATTGACCAATCCTAAGCAACACTGCCATTGGAAAAATATGTAACCGTAATTTGGATAGGAAGCAAATTACTTGCGTCTTTGTTGCACTGCATATTTGCAACGGTCGAATACAATTGCACAGCCGTTCATTTCCAAGTGTTTCATTAACAATACACTTTGCAAGTATCACATTACGTTATTTTTAAGTTAAATATTAATGTTTTGTAAAAAAAACATCTTTAAAATCTCATGTCTTACCGATTGCTCTCACACAATAATATTGGCTTGGCAGAAGGCTATTACCGAACACAACGGTGTACTTAATAAACATGAGTGCAGGAGTGTTTTTTACTGTGTGCATTTTCTGGTCTATAAATGTACGTATGGGCCAATAGAGTTGGCCCACTGCAATGAAGGTGACAATTGATGTACTGTATACAAATCCATAACAAAGTGCCACTTAACTCGCAGTGATACTCGGTGGTGGGCCAAGCAAGACCATTGCGAGGGAGAAAGAGGATGCATTGGTCATGATGCCATCTCCACATTAATCTTTGTTGTACTGGCATCAATGCTCGCTGACAGCACTTTGCACCATCGCTTTCACAAGGCATTGTGGGTGTGTGTGTGTGCCCATGATTGCGTGCTACAGTCACTGAACAGTGTCCTGGACATGCAGAGTGTTGCCCTGGAATCAGACTGGATACTCTTTCATCCAGACGACTCCGGGCGAATCCTGCACGTAGGACCCCGGCAGATTGAGTAACAACCGCACAGACACACACACACTTGACGATATAAACACGAATGCCCGCGATGCATTGGATTTCCAAATCAAAGCTGAATTTTTTTTTTTCAAATGATTACAGAGCACATTTATAAGAGATCGTTTTTAAATAAATGAAATGAGAATGGGTGGGCTTGTGTACAGTGTGCTGTGCATCAAGACGAATGAGCTGGCGCAGGGTCCGCGTCACCAGATCGAGAAACAGTTCACCATTGACACCAAAGAAGACGATCAGGTACCATTGGATGCACGTGGCGCCAATTCACAAACAAGTCAAAGTGTTTTCCCTGCTCAAACCAGCCTTTGGCTGTGCTCATCTCCTTGAGCTAGTGGTGGGTATTCCACGTGCTTATGGCTAAAACTAGTAAATCCAAAGGATGGGCACGATTGACTTTCCACCAAGTGATCCAAATTTTATGCATCGCACAAGGATGTTGGTTTAAGTCAGCTTGCAATCAGGATTTAACCTCGCAACCTTCCAATAGTCTCTCGGCGAAATGTAATAATGCATTGAAACAAGTCATGTTCTCGTGTGCATAAGTTATGAGACATTCCTAAATTTTTTGCTGTATTTTAATGAATTTTAATGTAATCAAAATTATTTCCCTATCGCTAGCAGGTATGGTAATGTGTTGAGTAACAGGCATTTTATATTTACAGCAGTCTGCGCTGTATTCTATTATATGTTAAAATTTCCAGTTGACTACTGCCTGGAAAAATGTCCTTACAAGTTTAAATTTCATAAATATGCAGTGCAAGGATAAACTATAATAATAGGCCCAGCCATCTCATGCTGCAGTCCTCCTCTGCCGAGTGACCTCTCGTCCTTGAATATATGATTAACAATGGTACCGTTCTGTGCCTGTGCTCCCAGAACGAACCTGAAGTTTTCGTCACGTCGTCGGGTCGAGTTGTCAAGAAACGCTTCCGGCGGTTTGATGACGATCCAGAGAGAGAGGTCACACTGGCTTTGTATCAACACATCGTACACTTCTTCTGAAGGCAAAGCAATGCTGATAGTGCACAGCGTAGTATTTATATTTTAAAAAATTATCGGTAAATTCAAATTCCACAGAGTTGATTTTCCTAACTTTTGTCAAAAATATGTTCGGGACACATTAAGTACTGAGGTTATGCTTTGCATCATAATCTAAGAGGTGAAATTTGCGTGCATTTTTCACTGAAAAATGTTGCCGTTGGAAAGCTGTTTCATGCAGTTTAAATATTTTTTTTTGTCCAAGTAAAAATCCAAAACTACAAATAGTTGATTCACATGATTTGTAGATTATAATAAATTAATCGGTTCGATGGTCCTTTTTTTTGCACAATTACCAATGAGAAACTCTCGTTGCAAACGTTTCAGACAGTCCACGTGGTAGACCACAGGGAGGAGGTGGATCTGCTGGTGGTGACGTGCGTGAGACCCGGCGACGCTGGAAGCATTGTAACCGTCAAGTTCCATGATAACTACAACGGGCGGCTCATCAAAAGTGTGCCACTGAGCGAGCCCTGGGATGTGGTGAGGCCACGTGTTGACACCGTCGGCCTTCTTTGCTACGTACCAACAACATCCTGACTAGTGAATATGGGGGGGGGGGCAGCCAATAAAGAAAACACCTGCCTTTGTCCTACAACAAAAAATATTGTTGACCCATCTGCACGTTTTCGAGCGTCATCCCCTTAACGTTTTATTCCTTTCGATCACTGGTTTATTTCCGGAAGGAATAACAAGAGGCCACACATCTTAACTTGGCCCTCTGAACTTTCGAACTCATTTGAGGCTTTTTTGTGTAATATATACGGTTTGAAATATTTGCTTCTCTTCAGTATTATAGTATTGTGGAGCTCGGCAGTGTTGTATTGTATTTGCAACATGTAATAAGAACAATTAACAGACGTTTAAAGTCTCACCATTGACTAACATTCTTAATCTGGCCTTTCACAGACATACGACCAGTCACTTTGCCTACATGCGGACACCATTGTGCAAATCACGCAGAACCACAACCGCTCCTACTCTTGCCATGTCCACAAGATGTTCAACACTGAGGTATTGGAGGAAGAGGAGAGGGAAAGGAAGGAGAGGGAAGGAAGGAAAAGGAAGAAGAGCACAAGAGAAAGAAAGGAACCAAGACCATAAGCACTGCTATGGAACACTTCTGCGGTTTTCTTGTGTGCCCTCTAATTTTTTTTTTAAGGAACCTGCCATTTTCATGAATTAAAGGTCAATGAAATTCAACAATGCGATAAAATTACTATCGTGTTTTTTTTTACTGGTAAAAGCGTAAGATTGGAAAATGCAAACGGATAACAAATTACACCCGCGTTTGGTTCAAATTCTCATCTTGGTGGCATTCGTTGGCAACTATCACAAATAACAGTCAATTGCCAACTTAGTGAATCTTCTTTTCCGGCAGAAAAATAACAAGCCATGGCATTTACTTTTGCATAATAAGTCAAGTGCCAGTAAGGTACCACCTTGATGCGAGTCAGAACCACCATTTATTAACACAGATGGATTGTAAATATGTTGTATTGAGCAGCAATTGTTATGCTCCAAGGTATTTGATATACTGGAAAGTGGCATGAAAATTGCACTGGATTTAAATTGTTTTGTCAAATTAAAACAATAAAAAAATTCAAAGAATAAAGCTGAAAAGTAATTTTGGCATTCCTTTACTCTGTTATAATTAATAAATGCTCTTTTTTTTAAAGAGATGCCGATGATGCCAGTTTCATTGTATATTTTAAGTGCCATAACAGTTTGCTTTCTTACATGTTAAATAACCAACCTAGGGAAACCATTTGTGTTCCATTAAAATAAAGCAGGCACGTGACTCTCAGCATTGGCCATGGTACAGTACATTATTTACAATTTTCTGTACAGAACACATTTAATATATACTGTATATTTTTTTAAAATACTAATTTTAAAAGTCAGTATGTTTTGTACATTTATCATTCTTTTGTTAACAACCCAAACCAATACCCAACTCTGCAAACCGCCTAAATCAAATATTATTTATCACAATCACCCACCTTACTTGTAAACACGATAAAATAACAAAACAAAAAAACAACACCCAGAAAATAATGTTATCACCATCTCGAAAAAACCGAAACGGACAAAAGGCTTCTTGTCCTCCAGCTTGGAATCAAGTTAGATTGGTTTGCACTGCTCTCATCAAATCAACAAAACGAATGTACAAGTTGCAATTCTACAAATTAAACAAGTGTCATTCACAATTGCTCTCATACCCTCAATATTCTTGCATGATTTACATAGTTCATTGCTATCATTTAAAAAAAAGTTGTTCAGCAAATGCAGCGTTTTCCACTTTTGAGATGTTTCATTAGAAATAGCATAAGTAAACACTACTACACATTATTTTTAGATGGTAATTGACCCAGAGAGTGTGACGGTGTCCCAAGTAAGACAGACATTTGTATCAAGTGATGCATAGGTATGTGAAAGCATAATTATTGCTTGGTGGTAGAGTTAACACGAGGGGAAAGCTAAGACGAGAGGTCTGCGTTCGGGTTCCAACGTCTTCACAATTCCCGTTGGGGACAACAAACGCCCATCGGTGTCCCACACACACACACACACGTGCCCGCAAAGGCTGGAGTCCCCCCCCCCACCTCCCCGGGCAGTGCACATTACAGGCAGGTAAAACCGCAGGAGTTCGTTCCCCTTGCGGCTCACTCTGCGTTTGCCACTGGCTTGGCCAATGCTCCTTAAATGAACTCCCACTGCTGGTGCTCGTCCATGTGGTCGCAAGGTGCCATCGTCGGATTTTCCCCTTTGGACGTGAGACACTGCTGCGTCCCCATGTTGAAAAACAGCTTCTCCTGTTGACAAGACGCAAGCGAAGACTTTACAAACTTTTCGGGGCAAATGTTAGCAAGCACCGATCATGGCCATTAGAACATGGGGGTGTGGTTAGCGGCAAACTGAGCCACCGTTGTATCCACAATGTTGAGGTTGATCACTGATCTGGATACTCATTTTAGGCAGGAATAAACTGGGACTGTCTGGCATGCAATTCTTGTGCGTAGCATGGAGAAGCAGCAAATAAGTTGGCATCGCTTTGCAAGCATTTAAATGGTTAAGCTTCGGGGATGCAAATATATCAAATTCCAATTTTCATTACAATTTCAGGGGTACCCCAAACTGCTCATTAAGATCAGCAGAGGGTATATCCGCTCACGTTATTTCAAGGCTCCACTGTATTCAGAAACCCCAGACCCACGCCCTGCTCCTTTAACCCTCTCTACATGAAGAAGGCGAGCGTACCGGGCGTAGCTCCCAGAGCTCGTAGGTGGGAGGCAATGAGCTGCCTCCCTTGTACTTGCAATCCTCCAGATGCATGGCTCCCATGGCTGCGTGCAGGCACATCTCCTTCGCCACGTTGTGTCTCAACTCCTTCTGTGATGAGTACTCAAAGTACTGCAAGCAGAAATCGCGACATCCCACACGGCAGTTATTGTATTGAAGATGAATCTGTTATGACCATATAGCCCTCCGATGCGTCATTAGGTTGCACTGCGTGTTGTGCAGGAACAGTTTTTGGATAAGCTCCCGGGGCATTGAGCGAAACGTCAGACACCATGCCGAACAACACACGGTACAATCCCAAAACACAGGAGAGCTACACAGCACAACAGCGAACACATACTCAGCAGTATTACTCCAAGTTATTATTTTGTCAAATTTGCATCTTTAAGGCAATTTGTCCTTCAGAAAGGCACAATCCAGATTGTGGAAGATATCTCTCATTCATGCAAGGGTTCGTAAGTTATAGATTGATGAGCAAGTAAGTCTAATCATTATTTTATGTCTTGTAAAAGAAATAAAAGAAATAAGAAAAACCAACAAGTCATCATCCACCACCTTGACTTTTACCCCTTTCTAAATTGTCAGTTATAAATAAACAACTGTGGTCAGGATGTACTTTGAGTGCGTTGAAGTATGTCATGTTGCATGAATGTGCCAATAAACCTTCAATTTTAATTAATAAAACGTATGTCTCTATATTTGAAATGTGTTTTTTGCATATTTAGTGGTACATGGACACGTACACAAAATATGGCAATACTGCAATAAAATAAACCTTTCACATACATAAATGTGCTGTGTAATTATGTAGGCACTCACCTGGTTTCCACCCATGCCATGACAGGGATACAAAATCAGAGGCTTTCCAACCTCATTCTGGAAACTACCCGTGTCCAGACAGTTGCCCTTTGCTTTATTCTTAATCTGCAAACAGCAGGAAATGCATTAGTCACTGGGGTATGTGGCTGCCTTGACAGTAGGTGGCGACCCCTTTCTCTTGAGAGGTCAGGAGCCAGAGCCGTGGTGTCCACTCTCGAGACACTATAACGTGCACCTATGCCGTGCCTTGACTTACAAAGACAGAGCCTCAGCGTCAACACACACCAGCGGTGGCCAATAGGTGGATCGTGATCCACGAGTGGATCGGAAAACGACTGTATGGATATCTGGACAAACGTGAACATAAGCACATAAAGCACATAACAATTTTCGTTATGGCTCATGGCACATAAAATTTCTCTTAGAATTCATTCATTTAAAAAAATACAAATCGATGGCATGCGTATTTTATGTCTATTCTACAGAGGCAATTGTTGGGCATAGCTTTATAGCAAGAAATTCGCAGAGCCCGTTGAGATCTACCCAAAGGGATACTGTGTTTGGTGTAATGGCTATTGCGGTCATCGACCAACGACAGCTAGGACAGCAGAGCACTCATCCACATGCTTAGCTCTGCGTGTGCTTACAGACAAATACGACCTCAGTGTGGGAACAGATGGGATTGAGGGGTTTAAACCACACATAAGCAAAACTCAGAGCTCACTCGGTCACATGCTTGTGCATAATTCAAGCAACATATCACAGACAAATACAGAGAGACTTGCTGAAATATATTGGGAGTGGTGTACAAGCAGAGGCCAAAAACACTTCACCATCGCTAACCCTGAAGAAAGGCCATTTCCAGAAACCTTAGCCCACGACAGTAAAAGGCAGCATTATAAAGACTGTTGATTACAATGGTTGCGAGGCAATTCCAGTCTCAAGTATTTAACTTGCAGTTTTTTTCCACAAAAAGGAGGATAATTTGACCAATTCAACTTTGGTGTCACGTTCAACTGTGTATGCAACATTTACATTGTCACTGGGCAATTACTTTAACAGAAAACCTGATCACTGCTGAATGTGATTATACTGCAAATTAAAAAAAAAACTGTTGTCCTTCGGGTGTTTATAATGGATGGGGATTGCAGCCCTTGATTGTTTGTGTGGAATGTGCATAATGCTTTTAATGAATTCCCTAGTATAATTATTATGACATATTCCAGTGCACAAAACCTGCTTGCCATGATACAGTTGGTACCATTTCACAGTCACGGATTACGAAAAAGCCCAAAATAAATGCCGCGTAACACGCAGAGCATCGAGCGTCAACGATCTGTGTATTTGTCGTGTGAGAATGTGGCGGGAGATCTTTATGAAGCCGCGTCGTCAGTGGGAACTCACCGCCCCAAATATATTTGGATGGAGGTCGGGCACGAACATCTCCGGATAGACGTTGGTGAGGTACCAGGTGAAGTTCTTGCATTGCAGCTTGTCTCGAAGCCTCTTTCTCCACGTTACATCGCCGTAGGCTTTCTACCACAAACGCATAGATCACAGAGGAGGCCCCAAAATGAATATGGCAACACCCAATCATTCCCAATCGCAGTTTTTTTCTGTTGTTTTTTTACCTTCCTCCAAAACGTAATGGAATTTTCTTCCCCCTAACTTAGGTTTCATGTGTAAAAGGAGAGAAACCTGGTGAAATAATGAATGACAATGATCTGTCGCTGCAGTCCAATTACATTACAATGTTAATGTATACATTAAACGCTACGGTATGACAATGCTTGTCTATTTCATGCCATTTACAGTGGACAATGACGTGAAAATATTGCATTGGTTAATACACGATATACTTTGCTACTGAAATGCAAAGCAGATACTCTGTCTCTTGGCACCATTTAGCTACCAAGTTTTCTTTTCGCACTGTAAAGAATTTGCTCACACATTCATTTAGGTGGATTAAGGTTTAGGATTGGCATCAACAAGCAAAATGTGTGCCTGGACTTCATCTTGGACTTGTCCAACACTCTGTTCATGGTCGTCGGTAAAGTGGGCAGGATTGTTGACATAACCAGAGGATAAAAAAGGAGTGTATGGCGTTAAAGAAGGCAGCTGGAAATCGATGGGGGTGGGGGGGGCAAGGAGTGATTACGGAACCTGTTCAAACAACAAGGGATCACCAACAGTCACGGCAGCCACGGGGACCATCAACAGGTTAGCTACACGGCGCCGCCACGTCACCATTTTGCGACATGAATCCGGGAGGACGGACTTCAGGGATCAATTCACACCGTTGACCCAGAGCCACACAGACAAAGATCCCCCATATAGCCTGAACAGACTGTTGGAGCAAGTGCTGTTAGCGAGCACCTATGAAGGGCCGGCACGGCACACGAGGGGGTGGGTGGCCAACACCACGCCTGGCCGCCTTTGTCTCCCGAGTGGTGATATTTAAACACTGCACCAGGTACTCATTTGAGGCTGAGTCGACCCAG